ACATTGGTGTTACAGCAGTGGCATTTAATAAAGAACTTGATCCTATACAGAAACTTTTTGTGGACAAGATTAGAGAATACAAATCTAAACGACAGTAAGTAAATAATCATCGATGATGTATGTGTAAATATTCAAAGTATGTAAGTCTTAATATTAAGTAAGCATAAAGGATAGAGTAGAGTTAGAATGAGGATGGAAAGCTCTGCTGTAGCTTTTTAAGTGCCACCGAGTTGAGTAGGACACATAGTATCCTCATGAACAACAGATCTGAACTGTGTCCTAACCTGTGCCATCCTCACACTTCCTGACACACTTGAGCAGCAGTCACTATATCAGTCCATCTGGATAAAGATCTTTTCTCTTTCATTGACCCTCCACCTTTCCAAGCTTGATGTCTCTTTTGTAAAAGCACAGAAGTTTTTATTAGGTACAGTAGGGTATAATATTATTCTGTATAGAAAAAGATAATTTTAATCACAGATTGGAATGAGAAGAGAATAAAAACAGACATACTAGAGGAAAAAAATAACCTAAGCATTAGTTAATTCTAGCAGTAGAGATATAAAAGGGTCCTAATGACCTTGTAGAGAGGCAGATCCATCAGAGACTGTCCCAGTAACTGCATGATAGAGTGTTATATAGATTATTCATTAAATTAGCTTAGTATATGTCAGCTCTCTAGTGGTGCCGTTGTGAAGCTTACCTATTGTCTGGAAGGTCATTTCCTTCTACACTGCTAGTGAAGAAAGCTGTGACAATATGCTTTGGTAAAGATTAAGACCAAAAATGAATAATAAACTTGTTGCTGTTGAGGCAATTTCAATTATATGTATCTACACATTACAGAACTGCCTACATGGTTTCTAAGGTTATGATATTTATAGACACAGACTGCCTTAGTTTTAGACAATGGGGTGGCGGGTAGATTTAAACCACTGACCTTTTACTTAGTGTAATGCTTTAACTACTACTACAACCAAGACCCCTTTACCAAAAATTATACCTTTGAAACCCAGTGCAGCAGAGTATTCACAGGGTCACTGTGAGTCTGAATCCTGGTTGTTAGTAAACAAATACGTCTTGAGTATCAACCTTGTCCCAGTCAGTGTGCTGGAGCCTGGAGACATAGTAGTAAATAAATTAGTAAGGATGCATATTAAGTTAAGGAGGCAGAGGATTTCTGGGACCTTTTTATCATAAAAGAGTGTAAGGGTGCTTTAGGTAACACCTAAAGCTTTGTGAATCCCAAAGTGAAAAAAAAAAATCTGGTTGAAGATTAGCTAGACTGCACTATTTATTTGGTAGCAACAGTTCTTACAACTTTAATTGCATTTAAGAAAACAGTCACTCTAGCCACATTTTTAATACTCAGTAGCTAAATAAGATTTCTTGTTAGACATCATTGAGTTGATCTCGACTCATGACAATCTTCTGTCTGCAGAGTAAAACTGATTTTCAAGAATTTTGTGTTTCAAAATAGATCACTAAGGTCTGTCTTTCAGAGCAGCTATGGATAGATTAGAACCATCAACTCTTAAACTATTTGTATTCTTCAGATACTAACTGATAATTACTGTATAAGATAGTTCAGAAAGTTACATTGAAGATGCTGACATAGAAGAAAATTGAGTCTTACAAGAAGCATTAAATTCTTTTTTTTAAAATAAATTTTTATTTTATACTGGTTTGCTTACAAAGTTCGTATACATTGTTTTTCACTGGCTTTTTACCATTTCCTTTACCCAGCCCACCCTTCTACCCATCAGATTGTACGACTCTCTGATTACCCCCCTGCCCATCCTTACCCCTCGGCTCATACCCTCCACTTCCCCCCCCTCTTGGATCCTCATATCCGTTTTACTAGTTATCTTTCCATTTCTACAATAATGGTCTTATACCATATCTGTTCTTATGTGACTGAGTTAGTTCTAAGTGGTATTTTTAAAACATCTGTTTCTGATCTGTTATCATAATTATATAGGAAGACAATATTTGTTTTAAATAAGGAGTAGATGCAACATGGAGGTGGCCAAATCTGACTTCTACTTGAAGAAGCATTAAATTCTTACATTGGAGTTGTGTGTATTGTGTGCTTTTTGTAAAAACATACTTGAGGTAAAACTGTGCTTTGATGATAGGCATATGTGAGGATATTTTTATCCTTGATGGAATTCTCTAATTTCCTTTAAGTTATTAATGTTCATTGATGGACAATAACCAGAACAAAATTGTGAAATTACTGTATTAGACCTAATTGACCTTGCCTCTGGTTCATTAGTCTTGATTCTGTATCTTAGCAAAGCCAGTTCTCATTTTGTTACTTGATTGCTTAGCAGATAAAATGCAGGTTTAGCATTTTGGGCCTTTCATAACCTATGTCCTCCTTGCTTTTTCAATCCAGGAAAAAAGTAGTCCTCTCTCACAGCCAGTGTTTTATCACTGTCATCACTTCATTTTCAGTCAGTGGTTTCAAATTAATTCTGACCTCACATACCTGGTTTACCTCAAGTGCTTCATTTTTAAATGAAGTTTTCCTTGATTAATAAAAATAATGTCAGCATGAATAGATTTTGTTTTGAAGCACTGTAAATATTTGTAAGCTGCTTTTTTCACTCTCCTACAGTGCAGAGTCTTTGAAGGTGAAATATATTTTGCTTTTTTGATGATTCTTTAATATGGAGACTTAAATTTTCTTATGGAATCAGCATTTAGTGATGACTGACTTGAAGATAGCAGGCTATGAGTGTTCATTCAGTGCCAGGTCTGTGAGTGGTGCATATGCATTATCTCTAATTCTTTTAACACTGGATTAGAAAGAACCTTTATTTTTAGACAGGAAAACTAATATTTAGAGTACTTTGTGATTTCATCCTGTTTATACACTTTAGAAATGATAGAACTGACAGAAATTAAAATGGAAGCAATTTTTGAGCCCACGGTAATCATCACATCTTACAAATTAGACCCTTGCTAAGTATTTTTTAAACTAAAATAACTTTGAATTTCAAATATTTAAGTTAGGTCATTTATGTAAAACCTCTTCATACTGAAATAGTTTGATTTGAAATAACCTTGCTTTCTTTTTGAAAAGTCTTTTTCCCTGCATGCGTAGCTTTAAAATGTGTAGTGAAAAGTAATTATTTTTATAAACTAGCTTATGAACTGAGTTTTCATTTGTTCATTTATAATGGTTTTTTATTTGTGTATTGCAGGGCATCTGGAGGACCTGTTGATGTTGGCCCAGAATATCAACAAGATTTGGAGAAGGAGCTTTTTAAGCTTAAGCAAATGTATGGTAAAGCAGACATGAATACCTTCCCTACCTTCAAATTTGAAGGCAAGTCTCTTTAATCAAGAATTAATTCCTGTGAAAGATTATTTTATGGAAAGAACATTTCTCTTTGATGATTTATTTGGATTGTTTAAAAGGATTAAATGACAAATACAGATAGTATTATTAGGACATATACAGAAAGTTCTTGGATAGTGTCCATTAGCATAGGAAACTAAGTAACATAATTGTTAAAAGGTAAAAATTGGAATCAAACTGCCTACTCTTGAATTCTGAGATAGATAGATAGATAGATAGATAGATAGATAGATAGATAGATAGATAGATATTCATAAGCTATATGACCTTGAATGGTTGATTATTATCTGTTAGCACATTTGACATTTGAAGAAAATTCTGTTTTCCCCATATAAATGGGATACGAAACAATTAAATGATGTGTATTATTATAGACTAACTGAACTTTTTTTTTCTCCCCTGTAGATCCTATATTTGAACCGGCTGAAAAACCCCAGTCCTAAAGCATTATGTAAAATTAGTTTGGTAATTTGTTATGGATTGATTGTACAATTAAAA